AAACAAATTGTGAAATATTTTGCATCTTTTAGAATTTTAAAATTTGATAAATCGTCATTTTTCCTTTCCTTCTTTTTCGTTCGAAGTCGATTAGCAACTCTTACTCCCGTGAATACTTTTTGTTCTACTGTTTGGGGTAATACCTCCAGCAAAATATTTCTAAGCTCCAACTCATTCAGAACTTCGCATGCAGAATAATCCTAGGTATCAAAAAATTTGATCATGTCAAAAGAATATACCCTCCTTCCAGGAAACATTCGAAGCACAAACGATATTTTAAGTTTTAAAAGGAAAGTTGCCCAATTTACCAAAAATTTTTATTAAATGGATCTTTTAACCCTTTTATACCTTTATACGAAATTATGTTAATTATCATGATTATTATTATTATCATTATTATTATTATTATTACTATTATTTTTTTTGTCTGTTTTCTTCGCAACACATGTAAATATTCTTTTACCCACTGTAATTTATTATATAAATATTATTGTATTACGACAGAATAGCCTCGTATAGGGGAGCCGTAATAATAAACATTGTGTGTATTGCACAAAATATCAGAAAAAGTTTCATGGATTCGAGTTCGGAAGAGAAAGTGCAAGTTAACATCCATAACTCTTTGCACAAAAATAGATAAAAATATAATGATCAAATTGCATCAATGAACGTTGATGCAATTTGATCAGCGATGAGATCTGTAATCGCTACCCTTTGCACTTTGTTCCATTACTGCGAGTGTAATTCACTGAGCTGAACGAAGAGCTCCACTTAAGTGGAACTAAGAGAATATTTCTTTTAACCAGTATTTCCTGATAAGATGTGGCAACTTCTTACTTTAAAAAAGTGTACTAAGAGCGATATCAGAAATTCTAAAGACGTAGTATAACGACAAATTTTAATCCTAGAAATTTTTACCGGTGGATGTGCGGCGTTTAGGTAGAATGTAATTAAAAGATGGCTGACAGTGTTCTTTTTAACCATTGTCGACAAATTGGTTTGGAACAATGGGATTATTTCAAAATATGAGGGAATAATAGATCATTTCAGACAATTTGTGCATATCTTGACGTACTTGGAACTTGAGAACCAAGTTTAGCGATCTGTACATCTGTATCTCTCCACAGGAAATAATAATTGCTGAACTCTAACAACGACATACCTTTAATTGTCGATTCTTGAGGTTATGGAAACACATATTAGATATAAAACCATAGGACTGAAATAAAATATATAGGTACCCTGATCAGGTTAAAACCGTGCCGGATGCCGTACGTGATAATTGCTAACAAATTGAACTGTTTATGGACTGATATATTTAGGGTCATAAAGAAACCTCTGAAGTCTGAAATGCTTTTAAAACTTTTTTATTGCTGTTAGTTATTTGATTAAAAATGTCAATTACTGATTTAAGACCCTGTGTTCTTATTAGGGATAAGGTCTATCAATGCACAAATGGGTCTTTAATGAAAGCATTACATCATTTGCAATAAGACAAGAGATCACGCTGCATAATTTATGTAACCATGCACCCCTGGTGCTTTTTTTTTTTTTTTTTGAGTTCAAAGTCCTGCCGAAGAGCAGTGTTTAGTGTTTTTGAGTCTCATGTCTTGTGTGGGCAAATATTTTTTCTTCTGGAGCGCCCGAGAATACACGCACTAAAATGCACACACTGTTCACGGTAGACTCACGCTTAAAAAGCTGTGGAGCGTCAGTTTTTTAGCGGCTTGGTCCACGAACTCAGACAAACGCGAGGAGAAATGAAATGTGCAGATGACGACAAATGAGTCTTAAATAAACTCAAAGCAACTGAAATATCTTTAGATGAAAAGCCAAGTACTAATGCCTGACACAATCAGGAACTTAGCCGGTGACTTCCTCGACGACAAGAAGAAACAGATATCCCGACGAACAACAGATGCGGTACTGCGCCTCGCAGGCAACACGAGCTTACGAACATTCGAATTCTTGGAGCGAAGACATAACCCCAAGGAAAAAACCCAAAATGACCACAGAGATAAGTCGTGCATTTCTTCCTTTCTTTTTTTTCATGTTATTTTGCACTAAATGGCAGTTTCTGTTACGGTTTAGGCGAACGTGGTTGCTTTTCTTTCTTGCAAGCGTACGGTTTTAGTAGCTATGAAACCGGGATCACTGTTGTAACATCATCTCCCTTTTGACGGCAGAGACTTAAGTTAGGGATTTGATGTTTTTGGCAAATCCGTTCAGTTATCTTTAGCATGTAACAAGGAGTCGATTTCATGCTGCTCTAAACATAAAAAGACTGTTTAGTTCTGTGGACTGATCGCATTTACCTCAAAAAACGAGAAACAAAATGATGCTTGCACCTGTGGTCTTCGCTCGTATAACCAAATATATATCCTGTACTGTATGATTGTTGTAGGCAATCATGAGTTTCCCAAAATATTTGCTGAATACTATGAATAAAATAAATGAGACGTGCATGGGTTTATAAAGACTATTAAGAGGGTTGTCAACAGAATTACAGAGGTCAAAAATTTTTTAGCAACACTAACAGTACAGTACAGTCCAACGTTTACTGGCAGAATCCATGCAATTTTTGTGATGATGTTGTCATTGTAGCTCTTTGCTAATTGCTTTTCAAGATTTGAGCGCAGACACTGCCAAAATTTCGTTTATTTCGTTTATTGGCTGCACAGTCTTGAGTAATTTTCACACAGCAAATGGTACAAGACACTTTACTCTTATGTAGAAATTTGTTTTATATGTCTCATTCTCAAAGGGTGTTCCTGTCACTGAAATGCAAAGTGCAACTCCAGAAATTACAAAAATTTAACAATTACCTAAACGTCCTTTTTTGTTTCGATCGAACCAGGACAAAAGTATTGATAGATCTATTTTACTCTCAAGATGCAAAAATTAGTTCTCTAGAGTGCGTGTCATGAATTTGTCATTGTTGGATTTCTGAGAACTTGGATTGATATTCAATAAATCTAATGTTTTCCTTTCTTCTAATTAGCTTTGATTTGAAAATATCTGGATGTTGAAAAGAGAAATTCATTTTTGAAATAGTTACATTTACAAGTTCCTTTCATCTTAAGATGCTGCTGCGTTTTCCTAATTTATAGATTGTTTTCCAGTGGAATCTTGTTGCTACTGAAAACAACTTACTCTAAATGCAATCTTTAATCACGGGTAATGAAATTCATCTATGGATGCTAATGATATTTTGAAGTAAAGTTGAAGCAGGATCGCTGATTTAGACCATGACCGATAGTAGGGTGAAGGCAATTGGTAGCTAAGAAATAGTGGGCTAATACAACCTGCTATTGATCTATTATACACTAATCTGCTGTCACAGTCAAGCTTTGTTGTTAATATTTTCAGTGCTATAACAGCTTCTTATTTTGTGAACGTGTTTGTTTTCTAATGTCATTGATCACAATTCGGGGAAAGTGGGTTAACCAACGTGTGAAACCAACTAAAACTAAACCGGATTTGTTTTGCAAGGTTTTATCAAATCAACCTCATGAAAGGGTTTTTTAATTTTTTTCCCTATCAGCATAAATTTATACCCGTTGTTATTTGAGATCATCGCATCAATCATGTGCTCATCCATCTATTTATGTTTCAAGTTTTAATTTCATGGAATTGTATTGAATGGTGGTGTACCGAGCGTGTGTTTATTTTTTCGGATTGTTTTATAAAGCTTTTGAGGAGAGCTTGCCACTTTGTGTTTTTAAAATAGTGATTGCCGAACATTCTCTGCTTAGTTTTTTGGCTTGTGGACACTCTTTTAGCTCCTTTGTTAGTTTTTTTGGGCTTGTATTATAAATTGGCTATAGATTGTTCTAAAAACTGCTGGTAGCCAACAAGTATGCACTTTGTCTCAATTCCGCTCGTGTCGGAATTTGGTCGGAGCAAAAGAGTTTGCATTTTTATATGACCTTGGGTCGTAAATTAGTGATTTCCAAGGCTGTGTATATCTTTTGTTTGTTTGTTTTGTAAATTGGTGAGTGCCAAAGTCTTTTTCTGTATTTAGATGGATTGTGTTGTATGTTTGCCTTCCTACGTATCTGCATGTTACCTGCATGTTACCTCCTGTTACTGGCTTGTTTTTTGCCTCTCATTGGAAAATACTGGTTCAGCACATTTCAGGTTAGCCACTATTCATCGCTGATGCCAACCAGCAACATTAATGTTTCTTATCGAAATTCCTCTTTGGCCCATGGATGGACTTTGGAGGGATCGATGAGACGAATCATAAGCACTGAAGGCTTCAAACATTGCAAAAAGCAAGCATGATATGCTTCCAGTCAGACGTCCTACTCCGGGATCATGTCCGAATCACTCAGAAAGCTCCGTGAAAACGTTTACAATCCTCTTCGGCCCAAGGATAGAGCTTGAAGGGATTGATGAGGCGAATCATAAGGACTGAAGGCTTCAAACATCGCAAATAGCAAGCACGATATGCTTCCAGTCAAACGTCCTACTCCGGGATCAGGTCATGTCCGAATCACTCAGAAAGTTCCGCGGAAACATTCACAATCCTCTTCGGCTTAAGGATAAACTTGAAGGGATTGATGAGGCGAATCATAAGCAGTGAAGGCTTCAAACATCGCAAACAGCAAGCATGATATGCTTCCAGACGTCCAGACGTCCTACTCCGGGATCAGGTTATTTCCGAATCACTCAGAAATCTCCGCGAAAACTTTACCAACCGAAGAGTATAAGCCAACCAATCACCCAGCTAGCGTTATGTTTCCTTTCGAAATATAAAGCTCTTGAACACCCTATCCTCACTCAAACTATTTTTGGAAAAGGTACTCTTTCATATTGATATTTCATATTTCATATCGAAATTCTGCAGAAGATAACAAATGACAAATTTGCCCGCCATATTGAAGATCCCCCTAATGTATGCGTGACGTCAAAAATATTCCCAGAAAACACCCACCTGAGCAGTTTGTTCCTCTCACACTTAAAATCGACTGATTATCTATTACGCCATTTGACGTTCCTGTGCAGGATGAACACACGGGGGATTGAATTAGATGAAGCGGAAAGAAACATCTTAAGCCTCTTTCCAATAGCACCAATTAGCCAATGGTTACTTTTTCTTCAGACTACTTGTAGTAAGCCTTAGATAGGTGATCTTCATCTTAAGGAAAACGCTTTGCCCTTAAAATATCTCTTGAACATAATCTATTATACTTACTTTATAGAGGACGCTTATCCATAGGGGAAGTTTCAGATCCAGAGCCGTTTAGTGCAAAATAATCTCAAATGTCAATAATCTCAGCAAATTTAGGCAAGTGATTAGTCATAGCTTTGAGCAGCTGATCAGGATTAGTTGGGCACACGAATACCTCCTCACAATTTGTTAATAAGAAATTCAAACATATTAATTCAAAGTGACAGTGGTGTGGAGGTGCTGTCAGATATCAAGGAAGGTGGGTCCAATTTTGGTATTGATGGCCGTTATTGATACTCTCCAACTTCCGGGTGGGATTAACTTCTGGCCCGCAGCCAATGCAACTTGAGGTGTAATTTGCGTTTTGAGAAGCTTAGGTTCATGGCTATGACAACGCACGCGCATAAGCCAACACTGGATATTTGGTGACGTCAACAAGATTCCATAATGGCGCCTACTCTGAGAGACGCCATACATGATCCTTTCTTAGCTCATTTCAGCGCCTGGAAGTGTCCTTGTCCAGTAGCACCTTCAGAAGCTTGTTGCATAACAATGCAAATTAAGGAGAGTGTAAAAATATGAGGTCTTTGTAACTTACGCGAGTGATTCAAAGGTGGAACTTTTGAAGTTCGGAGTGATTCAGTTTCAGCGCGAATATCTTTACGACCACGTGTCATATATTTTGAAAAATAAGGTACGTAAAAACGTTTTTCAGTCTCAGTATAACTTGCCATCGAAGCCGCCGTAAGATTTGCTTGCATTTGGCGGCATTTTTCTTCGTTATGAAATCCTCGTTTTGCACCATGTTGTGCCCTTGAAGATACAGCAATGACTTTCGCCATATGACTTATCGCTCGAACTGATGATGCATCGTTCCACTTTATACTCTCTAGCTGTCTGATGGAAAAGCAAATTGCTTCAAACTATAAAGACGCCAGTTGTGTGGCAATATGATGACGAAAACAGGAACGTTTCAGATATACAAGAGAACGGTACTTCGAAAGGAAGTTTTTGAACTCCATTTCAATCTGAAAACAAAGAGGTGCTTCTCGATAACGGTCCTCGGCTTGTGGAAAATCTTTACACCGTTTTTGGCGTCTGTATAGCTACGTGATTATTAAAGTTCTAATCGTGAGAGCTTCTATCGTTAAGTTCAGTAAAGGTCTGTGTGGCAAATGAGAGTTTCGCTAAATAGTACTTCACTAAAATTTTATTGAAACTCAGTTATTGAAGGAGTTTAAATTGAACGATCCCCGACCGCTACTTTTGTGTATCATCCTAAATCAGTTTTTATTTTTATTTTAGAAAATGAAAATGGTTATTTTAAATGCTCAAGCGATAAACTAGGTTATCTCAAAGCATTTGCATTGCTTTAATTGATTACTTTTGGACTAGACCTTGCAGAGTGAGGTCCTAAAAGATCCTAGATAGCATATTGAGCTTTGCATTAAAGGATCAAAACTCGACATAGATTTCATCTAATTCCAAATAATACTAATTTTTAAAATAAATTCATGTTGCAGTTCCCTGGATTCTTCGTGAATGTTTGTGTTCAAACTTCAAGAAATCTTATCTAAAGTGCTGTTACTTTGTAAGAATATACTCCTGATATTATCATGTTATGGCACTCAAATGGAACTAAGTTTCTAGTTTAAGGAGGTAGAATTATTGGTTCCATTTTCACTTCCCCACCACCTCATATCTTATACTTCGAGTGTAAAAAAGAGGCGTGAAAACACCAACAAAGTAAACAGGTTTTTTAGAATCTTCATCACACATTTCAATTGTGAATTTCAAAGAGAAATGATTACAGGCCATCATTGGAGACCCTTGATAGATTCACAAGGCCCTCTCAGGTTTAGCAAACCTGACAAAAACATGAAACAGAGGAATACTTTTGTTTTTCAGCCAATCTCCTCAACTAACTGTGATTGATATATGGTAGAGGTGCACAGAGTTACCTGTTCAATTTCGAATGAAGATTGGCAGGTCTCTTTCGATTAGAATTGCAAATACTAAGAGAGTATCGAACCTATTAGAAATATAATCGAACCACCAGACCGAAATATCTTCCTTCAAAGAAACGTAGATTCATAATAGACATTCAGGGACGTGCTCATCCATTTATAATGCGCTGGCGCTTGAACCATTTTAATTGAAATATTGGTCTTCTTTGAGTAAATTCCCTTCGATCTCTCGATACATTGACAACAATTACAAAGTTTCACCTTAAGCTCTCATCAGTCGCACGCAAACCCCTTCAAAAAATATCTCCTCGAATTACAGCATCTCAGTCTTGATAAGCAGTAAAACGAATTCTTGTAGAGTAAAATCTCATTTGCAGATTCCTTTCGCGGTTTAGAGAATGTTTTGATCAACCAATCAGTTTCGAAGAAAATTACGTAGACATTCGTGACGATGGCCCAGACTGATGAAACTTAGATGACTGTTAACATTTCGAAAAACATCAGATACTTCCGACAGGGCATTAGCTGGTGAACGAAGCCCTTTCCTTCGAGAGAATTCTATGCATTTTTACACGCATTTGCTTTAACTAGCGTTTTTATTTGTTGTTTTTGCGCTGAAAACGAAGATAGCCAGAGTTACTGAACTACCTCAAAGCAAAATTGGGTCACTCAAGGTCACGAAATTAAACGCCGAAAACTTCCGGAGTCAGTCCCAACGTTTCTTGGACTCAACATTTTGTCTTTTCTAACCAATTTGACGCAATCGCCCATTCATTAAGTCAGAAGACTTAATAGCTTGGTTACAAACGATGTATGATGATCACGGAGGAAAAAAATGTTTATATTTGATTATCCGAGATAGAATAAGGCGACTTTTGCATCAATAAACTGCATTGCTATAAATGGATTGGCTGCTTGAGGTCACGTTTACTTTGCACTCTGAGATCTTTTCAGATAAGCCAGGGGAGACTGTACAACATCTCACAGATCTCAATACCATGGATCTGGGGTGTCAGTTGGAAGTCTGGTATTGTTTATTTAAGAAATGAAACGCGCTGTTTTTTATCGGTATCGGAATGTTGGACGAGCACAAAAAAAGTTTGTGATTCATGAGCCGGAGGCGAGTGATTAATAAACTCTTCGAGTGTCCTCCCAGCATTTCAAGTGGTTATTAAGCCGGTAACCGATAAAAAGTGCGGTCTATTGCTCTTATATATAAAAAATTGAAATGATAAAAATTTCTATAAGTTTAACGGTGCAATGAACAGGTTTTTGACCAACCAGGGCCCTCGTAATATCTCAGCATTTTATGAAGCGTCACTTTGCTACACTTGTCGAGGCGTGTTAGAATTTACTGCTGAAAAAATAATTCTATGGGAAGGTAACGGGAAAAGTTAACTCGTATTTCTGTATAATATGGTGCAACCTAACTATGTATTATTTATATACTACTCAGTAACGTAAAATGTGAAAAAGCCTCTAATTAGGGCCTTATTTTCTTTTAAAGCTAATACTCAAATTAATATTAACTACAGCTCAATCAAACTTTACTGAACTTTTTTAAAATTCACAGGTCAAAATCCAGTTAAGATGTGGTGAGTTACCTCTCTGATGACAATAATTTAATTTAAAAATTCACGAATCGAATTCGCGTGAAACCTCTTGATAGGACACAGTGAAAACATTGCATTACTCCAAACCTCAAGGTGTTGGATATAAATTGTGAACAACTGATACACCTAATATTGTTATCATTATCATTATTATCATTTTTATAATTACTGGTTATCGCTGATTATTACTGATTATTTACTGATTGTCAGTATTATAATCAATTAATGTTTCTGCTTCCGACATCAACGGCTGCGACTGTGTCCCAAGGCACTCCAAGGGTGTCCTTTCACTTTGATTGTGTTTTTACCAGGCCCATTAACCAGCTGAAAATACCTTCTGGGTGTTTGTTTACAGACCAACATTGCTAGTTAAACATGACATCTGTTTTCACCGGGAAATTTGACCCAGTATATAACCCGCTGACTTAGACGATTCAAATTACAAAAGCGCGCACATTTTAAAAAATGGCGGGAGACGAAGCGTTCTTTATGACCTCTCTTGTGCTAGTTTTTGGACCAGTTTGGGCACCGATTTCTCTTACTAGATGATCCTGGCTGCAGTCTGTCTTCGTTTGAGCTGCTGCACTGCCGCACGCTTCGGAACTTGGCACGGGAGAAACATGTGGCATAGAATGCAGTGGCGATTGACTGTTTTGGGTCTATTGGCTGAACTGGTTCTGTGCGCTAGCGCCATGAAATAAGTATGGTCCTGGCCGAGGAACTGGCGAATCCAACTGCGGCGGAGGGATGGTAAATCGGTGAAAACGGGAAGCATTATTGAAGTCGTCAGCCATTTTTTCGAACTTCGATAAACCACGAGGCAACCTGAGGTACGATACGAGCACGTGGTAGGTAGCACTGCCAGGTTATTTGGCAAGTGTCTGTCACTACGCGCGATGCGATTGGCTGCGGTATTCACCAGGACACATTAGAATAATTTGACGTGAATTTCCGGTCATATAGGCTAGATAATCGCTTGTTTTTTTTCTTGGGAAAACAGCGTGCATTTTGAACTCGCTAAACTTAAGACAAACTGTCTTCACTGAATTTCCGGACTTTTCCGACTTTATCTAGCCAAAATTGTCCTAGTGAAAACACAACCAATTACTTTATGGATAATAACTTTCTGACAATGTACGTTGTTCATGTAGGAGTTATTTTATCGATTTCCTGGAAGTTGATATTTCCAGGAATTTCACTGGGGAACTCCTCAGTGCCCAGCTTCTTGATCCAAGATCACCAATTACTACTGAAACAGCCATTGCTTCCATAATTCAAACTTGAGCGATTTCACTATCACTATTATAAATTTCAGCAACTACTATTACTATTATTGTTGTTATTATTATTATTATTATTATTATTATTATCGTTGTTGTAATTACAGTCTTTATCATCACTTCTATCATCATTATCATTCTTGTGATCAAAATCAGTACCATTATCATTACTATTACTACTATTATCAAATTCGTGGCAAAATAGCAAAATGTGGACTGGCTGAGACGAGAACTTTTTTCAACACGATGGCACTTTTGGTCGACAAGAAAGCATGATTTATTGATCCTTATCGGTTGGAAACTGCTTAGCAACATAACGTTTAACAAATCTGGCAGTAAAAAGTAAAAAAAACAGACTTATGCACACTTACATAACAGAAATATTTGATACTGCCCCGAAACGATATAATCTGAGGAACGCTGATTTCAATATTGCACGTTTTAGCACAGTAAACTAAGGAAAACATTCTTTACAATACTTTGGGCCACATTTTTGGAATAAATTAGAACAAAGTGATGGAGAGAATCCAAATTAATGAGTTTTAAAAACAGTATTAAGACCAAATACCTATTACTCTTAATAAATAATTATAAAAACTGTTATGTATGCTGCCAGGCCGCTATACATTTTATCTATATCTGATATCTTCTAAGCTTATTTTACTAAGTTCTTATACTTCATTCACTTATTTATTTACCTATCTATTCTATACATTATAAATTGAAGTGTGTGTAATTTTAACTTTATGTAGTTTTGGTATATTTTAATGCGTAAACAGTGTCCCCAGTTAGTTTTCTTCGAGCTAAATACTGTTGACACTTCAATTAAGTCCTTCATTCATTCATTCAGTTTTGTTGAGGCCAAAGAGGAATTTATTGAAGGATGTTCACGAGGCACTGTAAATAATAATAATGAAAAGAATTACAGACAACTTGACGAGAATTTTTCAGCATTGACGGAGAGAGGCGATAGGGTTAACACTACGAAGTGCTACACTTAACATAGCACACGCCTGGTAATTCGCCACTTTTTTTTTGCCAAAAATGTTAACAATCGGTTTCCAACCAGATGACAAAAAAATTGCTGCAAAGAGGCTTCCAACGCGTTCACATCGACGGAATATGTCACCCTCGTTATCCATGAAAATGAACTTTTATTGGGGAGAAAATATACTCTGTTGCATGTCTATTGTAAAGTCTAAAAATCAACCCATAATAAAATACTCATCACGTTTTGTGCCGCCTCCATACGACTTCTGCCATATAATTCTTCAACTTGTGATATGATCTGAAAGAGATGTTTGAAATCCCTACCTGAAGTTATTTTTGATATCTGCATTTCAAACGTTTTGGGTTTTTTCCCCTACATATTTTTACCGTATCGGACAAGTGATTTTATATTATTCGAAGAGGGTAAACACTAAAAAAGAAATTGTCTCGACAATACACTTCTTGTGACATGAAGAACGTGTTTAGGGATTTTTCATTATCCTGCGATAGAGCTTATGTTTTGAAAGGAACCCTGGGTTTTAACCTATGGACGACGAATCTAGTTTAGTAGCGCTGACGAGGATCTAGCGTCTTTTCGCAGAGACCTGTCGCAGCGGATCATAGATCAAAAGATAAAAAAATAAGATAAAGGGACCAAAATTGAGACCAAAACCTTGGAACGTGCACGTTTAATGTCGAATTGAATTGTAGGTATTAATTGTACTATTGGGGATCAGTTTTTAACCAGCTTATATCGATGGCCTGCCAACTAAAATTTTGCATAGGAACCGGAAACAATTTTGGGATTCTAACTTCCACTTTACTTTTTAACTTTCAACTCTGGCGTTTTACTTCAGCGAGTAAAGTACATGGAATGTGGTAGATCTCTATATCTTAGTTAAAGTGCCTAAGTGCTGCAAAATGACCGATGTGTGTGAAGCACTGATGAAGGTGAAGCACTACATCGGGAATGTTTTTAACTTACATCGTTTATCAGAAAAAAGTCAAGCAAGAGCCATTCTGCTTGGCCGTGTAAAGAGATTTTATAATGTTCTAATAATCGTAAACAAAATTAAATTCCGCTCATGTAGGAGGAACATCCTTCAAAAAAGTTGCAGAGGTCTTCTGCATGAGTAGCTTACTCGCGTAGTCTTTTCTCTATACCTAAAAAGGTTTCTTCATGCATAAGCGCGCTCCTGAACTTGGCATAAACACCTTCTTCCTATTTAGATTGATTCAATTATCAGTCTCTTGATGATGTAATTCCTTTAAACGAAGACCTAACAAGCTCAAAGAATATAAGTTTCTTTACTGAGCGCAGCTGTCGATCAGTTAACAGCTTGACTCAGTAGAGCAAAAACAATCTTGACGAGTTGCCAAAAATAAATTCCTCGACTGCTTGAAGGGGAAATTTATGAAGTAAAAGCTTGCAAGTAAGGAACAATTAGATAACGCCTATTGTGATTCTACTAGAAACAAAACCAAAAGTATGGAAAGCTATAACATTTTCCTGGCCTCAGTTGGGTAGCAGCTTAAAAGAGGAGCAGAAGTTGGGTAACAGCTTAAAAAGAAAAAAATTAGCAAGCGTTCACTTGTGTTTTCTTTTCATTTCGAAGAAGCGAAAAAATTTGAAGAAAGTTTAATGAAGTTCGCAATTTTAGACTGGGATCAGCCAAGGTGTTATTTGGTTCTATTTTCAATCAAAAGGGACCCATAATGTGTTTTGATGGGATTTATTAATTGTGATATACGAAGTCGCGTATAAATGCAGTAGGTCTGCTTGCATAATAAGCGCTAATTCCTGAACAAAAATTATTGGATTTGTATTTTTGTTTCTTAAAAAAAGGACAAAGGTGGAAAAATTGATGTGCTTTATTCGGCAATTTTTTTGATATCAGTATTATCTCATATATATTAATAAATCTTGTACAGCTCAAAACAGATCAATATGGCGTAAACGCATTTCCCAAACTTTCCGATGTTTTATTTTTTCTCTTTGTTTTGTTTTGTTTTGTTTTTTTGTCCTTTTCCTAACCCTCCAGTGATTGATTACTGCGTGTAAGCATGCTCCGTTATTACCAACGTGTGACATTAAAAAGCAAATAAATAAAGGGGGAAAGTTTCTAAAGAAACTGTGGTGCTGCGTCGGTGGGAGAACAAAACATCGTAAATTGGCCAACGTGAAGAGTTTAAAAGCTGACGTTTCGAGCGTTAGCCTTTCGTCAGAGCGATTGGTCGAAGGGGTAACGCTCGAAACGTCAGCTTTTAAACTCTTCACGGTGGCCAATTTATGTTATCAACTCAGTTGATAATATCAAATTAACCTGACAGTTAAAACCTCTGGCAAAATTGCTGACATACTGAAAGGAAAGCATAATGTGAAATATTTTGCTTCTGTTGGAATTTGATCAGAGATGAACCATCAGTTTTCGTCTTTTTGTCTTCTTTCTATAATAGTGCTGTCGTGTCTGAGGTAAAAAATCGACCATTTTTACCAAGTTTGGAAGAAAGAAGTTCGAGTGAATATCCATAATTTTTCGCACAAAAATGTAACCGGTGGTCGTGGCATTGTAGCCAGCTGCAGCATGACGTTATCGATATCGCCGATCCTAGCAGTATCATGGCAGGACGCGTGTCACATATGAACTTCGTAGTGGGCCTCGCTCAACATAGAGTCTCTGTGGCTCAGCGGTAAAGGTTCGATTCCTCGAGTTTTTCTCTGTCCCGCTCTCTATTTCTTTCTGATCTGGCTCAAAATTTCCCATCTTTCTTGTTTTAGGGGAGAATATTTATTTCAGTCAGTTTCTACTGATGAGAATTGGCATCTTTCAGTTTTAAAAAAGTTCTTCTAGAATAGCATTAGAAATTTTACATATGTAAGGTGAAGACATGTTTATTGTCCTGAAATGTTTTTCCTTGGACTCGCAGCATTTAGGTAGAAAATACTTAGGGTGGCTAAGAGTCTTCCCACTTAAACATTGTGGACAAATTGGCTTGGAACAATAGGATTATTTCAAAGTATGAGTTAAAAATAAAACAAGTTCTAACAATTCGTGTATTTCTTGACGTAATTAGAAGTTGACAAACATGTTTATGGCGATCTGCACGTTTCCAGAGGAAATGTTAGTCCCACGAAGCTGTCAACAACATACGTTTACTAATTGGTGCCTGAGGTTACTTAGGTACGGGTGAGATATAAAATCATAACGATGAAATCAAGTAAATAGGCAAAACTGCCTCAATCAAATTGAAATCGTGCTTGGCGGCATCCATGATAATTGCTAATAAATCTATTTTTGACATGGACCCTTACGTACAGTAAGCGATGAAAAGGTCATGCCCTGAAATCAGTGCCCATACAATAAAGCGTTTTAAAAACCACATTATCATCACGTCCGTCGCGTCTGCAAGATACACAACAGTACTCCTATTCTCCATTGTAATCTTATTTCTGCGTCGTCGATTACATAAGTGAAGAATGACTCAATGAGAGTGCGTGTTTCCTTCTTGGATATTGTAAAACGAATCTGGCCTTACGCTTAACTCTTGACAGCAATTATTTGCTTTGCCACTTCGTTGTTACTCTGTTTGCCAGTTTTCTCATCTTTGAAAACGCCGTTTCAGCAGCGTGATCAAAATAGTGATTTATGATTGGCTTTGGTCCTTATTTTTCAATTAATCTCGTTTGAATAACTCTGATCCTCCCTTCTTTCCCACTGTTTCTGGCTGTTTGTAGACGTCATATATTGCTTCTGACTTGACGAGCGCACGTTTTGACTTGGAAATCCGCATTTGCCATAATTGCCTCAGCAGAAATTTCTTTGTATGTCATTGTCCACACGGAATAAAATGCGAAAACGTGACAAACATGCTATCAAAAACTAGCGAAAAGAATTGGTCACCAATATTTCCTTGGGTGTCATACTGTTTGGTGTGTGTGTATGAAATTATTCGTGTGCATTTGGCGCTGTCCAAACGTAAAATAATAGAGTTGTGAATGTATCAGTTTCGGACGTGTTTTCTAACTCCTTCGATTGCTATTTACAGTTGTTTTTTTACGTCAGTGCAAAAGCTTAACGTATGAATCAGAAATGAATAAAGGAGCTTATGATTTAGAAACTTGGTGCCTTAAAGTCAGTTATGTATTCTATGATATCCTCTTGAATCATGAATAATGCTTAACCACAAAAGAAAAATCACAAATAATTCCCAAATAATCTCTTCCTGTTATTTTCACGGGTTGCTACTTAAATGAGTGCTCTGTCGACTCTACAAACTTTGTGTGCTAGACGTCCGAAGAAGCAGAGCTCTCGGGAACTGTGTCTGCAGCCGGACTGCAAGGCCAATCAAAACACTGACAACCTATATTGGTAGGGATTTAGTTTTAGAGTTTGACTTATTGCAGCCCCGTGATTATTGCCGATCTCTTTTTGAGCATTCTAGATTCGTTGGAATGGAAAGCAATCATAAATTTTTCGAAATATTTTGTAACTCCTTCAGGGAACTCTGATGTATGGTAAATTCCTATTTCTTTGTAGCTGAAATCCAAACTATGCAATCCAAAATAAGCTCTGTAGTTCTGCGCCGTCTTAGAGCTTGTGGCTCTTAAGTCGTTTTGGAGAGACTGTTGTTTTTGAAAATTACAGTCTTGAAACGGGTATGGTTTTAAAAGGAACCACAAGGACGTAAAAATTAACTGGTCTTCTCAACACAAAATTATTAAGATTAGGCTGTTCTGGTTTCCTGCCGAAAGAGAACCTATGGATTTTTTTTTCCTCAAACAGATTCTTTAAGTCATTTTTTTCCAAAAAATACTCGTGATATCTGTATCTCAAGATGGATGTTAAGGTAATCGTGGCTACAATTAAACCGAACGTGCTGGAGGTCTGTAGACTTCGTGGTGAAATGTATGATGCCTCTTCCTTCAGTGCTAGCGATCACTGTGAAACCAATAGTAGTCATAAAGAGCTCTGCAGACTTTGTGAACTTCCGACCTTTCCGCTTCGTGGGTAGAGACAAGCCCGTCAAGCTCTAGACAAAGCACAATAGTGTTTGTGTAAGCTCAAGAATCGAGGCATTGTTTGGAGGAAAATGATAGACCCGAACCATTTTTGTTGACGCTATTATCGAAAGTCAAGTATTTACTAAGACTCCTTCAGTCGAAACGAGTGCATGTGACGGGTTCTGACTAAATTTAAACTTAACCTCAAAGTATGTGTAACCGATATGTCCACTTGAATGTGTTTTTCTCCTCGTAAACTGCGGGAAGAATCAAAACTAAGGCAATTTGTGGTTTCACAATCCAGTGCATTAGAGTCAGTTGTTATATACATTCGTTTATCTTTTATACTTTTTATCAATCCAATTTTTTCTGAACTGTTTATGACAAGCATACCCACTTCCACGAAGGTTTCATTGTTTGACGGATAAAATATGTGACACTCAATATAGGATGGAGTTTTGAGATTTCAGTTAATATACACAAGAAATTTGATCTATCGATCGCTTTTATTCCAGATGGAACTGAAAAACAACTCATTTTAATGTTGTTAATACTATTGTTAAGCTGATTTCAATTTTAATTGATATTGTCTTCTGACTTGCTGCATGGAAAGAAAACTATTGGACGAAACTTTATCAAAGATCAAATTAATTTAGCTTGACTTTTAGGGTTTTAGAAATGAAAAACAACCATCCTGAACACCATACTGAGCAGTTAACATAGCTGAAGGCGCTTACCAGACCTGGAGCACTAACACGATTGAGAAAAACCTCACCTCGGCTCTTTTTCATTTATCATCATGATTTTTTCGCACTGTACTTTTTGGTTCGTTAGTTTCAAAGCCTTCCTGCTCACGAAATAACTCTGTCGTGAAGCTTGTAACAGGTTTGACGGAAATATGAGGAACTAGAGGTCGAATTTATTGAATCAATCTGTACTCGAAGACCCTCACAGGTTTGCTTCCAAATCACCTGAAAATTCCAGACATAAAGCGTAGTCTTGTCGGACACAGTTCACTGGATTTAAGAGAATTCTCGCCCCTTTTATTGAATTGATTATATATTTTTTTATTCTTTTTTTAGCTGAAATTATTTTATAACAATTTGTGCTCGACTGAACTTCGAGATGTCAGAGATGAGTTTATCGATGATATTCCCAGCAATCATATTCACACTGGCTTTCTTACTTATGGTCACAAGCACAGAAAGCAAAAGGTAGGTCACACATGCTCATGTTATCAGAATTCAACGAATCAGCAATTATCAATTCAGATAAATTATGCCGAATTGCAATGCCAGTTTTCTGCCCAGGCTTGTTTCTTCGAGACCGATGATAGTTTTAGGCATGACTAAGCTAAATGGAGTCACTATATCTAATCTCAGTTTATTTGTTTACATTTTCCCAGTCAAAATAATGTTTTCCCCTTTTTTGGCAGAGCTGACTCAGGATCAACCATCGCTAATTCCATAAAGGTTTGTTGCTTTCAGGTTATTATTTCTGATCTATTTAAAACTGAGATCATAAAAGGGTTAGTCTCCTTACGGCGGAAGGAATGGCGACTGAATTATTTAATCGTCTGTTCGAATATCATTGCCAAGGTGTTTTATACTTATCTAGTTTTTTTTTTTTTAAACTCAGGATGCTTCCATCAAAAAGAACATCATGAGAGCCGGAGTCAACAGGGGTCTGAAGGAATGCCGACGGCTTTTTAAGGACGAGGTCTGGGACTGTAGCTTTTATAACGAAAGCGTGACTGGAGAATTACCTGACTTTATTCTTACAACTCTGCCTTACGGTAGGTTTTCTGATGATTATTTCATGCATCATAGGCAAAGTGAATTGCCTCTTTTGAGCTTGATTCAATACATCAGAGATATTCAAGGTTCTTCTTCAGGCTTCTATTTCCAGATCCTTCTCTTTCTTCTTATTTGGACCTAAATATTAATAACAATAACACAGTGTGGTTTGGCCTTCCGACACCATGTTCAATACATTATTGTTGCCTCAGTAACATGTCACGTGAACGTGAATCTAAGCAGCGATTGGTTATTATTCTTTTTACACCAAGAGAATACCAATTTAAAATTGGTATTATTCCCTTTGTTCAAATATCTTTTGCTATTGAACTTATATCTCAAACATCCAATCCCTTTCTGTTGTAGCCAATAAGGAGACGGCGTTTTTACATGCGATCACCACCGCTGGCATCCTTCAAGAAATCCTTTCCAAGTGCGATGCAAACAAAATTACCGAATGTAGTTGCAACAAAAAAAGACGGCAATCGCGTGGATGCAGCGAAAAACTGTTGTTTGCCGAGAAGATGACGCTGAGTCTCCTAGCAACTGAACGACAAGGGAACGACGAACGAAGAACAATCGACAAAGACAATAAAAAAGTGGGAATACAGGTTAATGATGTTTTCGTATTTTATTTATTCGTTTACTGTATTTAATGCTGTTTGCCCACTTACATATCATTTTCTGCAACTTTTTATTGTCGGAAATACCTATCTATTTATCTCTTTCGATCGTGGGACAGTGACAAAGATGTACATGTTACATGCTAAATACTTTTCGAAGAATCGATAGAAACGCGACGCCTCTTCAAACTGTGCGTTACATCCAGTTTTCTGCCTTTTTGTTTGAGAAAAATTACTCAATGACCACATTGCCAGTTAACTGAAATTTTCTGTGTCGGAGTAGGGAGGAGGAATTCATTTGACCTAAGGGGTTGTGTGCTGTTAAACAGGATATGGGTGTTTTTTTTAAATATTAGGGTCTTTCTTGTTGGACCGGAAGCGTAGAATAGTGTTCCAGCTTGGCGATGTGTTATCAAAATGAGTGGCATAAACAATTGTTTTAACCATTTAATCCTGCACAATCCCGCATTCCTTTGTTTCTAGAGAAAACACCGCCTTTACTGACATATTCTCTTGCAATGACACCCGCGTAACACTCGTAGATATTGGCGAAACTTTTCAAACGTTACAAAATTGATTGCTCATCAGCTTCCAATACATCCAATCCTGACACTTAGCTATGGTTTGCTTCTTAAATACCACTGATTATTCTGACCAGTGTTTTTCATACCCAAACAGGTTTTCAAGATGAATTATAATCGTAATTGTCTTGGCAGAGTGACTAGAAATTGTTACAATTTTCAAGACGTCGCAAATGAACTCAAAAATAAATATCATTCTGCCATCAACAAGACCAACAAGGCACAGCAGCTCGATATTGGAGGGGTTTTCCAACGAAATAATATGCAAGAACTCACTTATTGGGATCCGTCGCCTGATTACTGCGTACACGACGTGACCACTGGCTCACCAGGCTTGAAAGGAAGAGTCTGCGGAAATGATGGCACAAAAACACGCCAATGCAGATTGCTTTGTAAAAAATGTGGCCTGAAACTCCGGAGAGAGCAGCGAATGAGTCCTGACAACTGCAGAGATTGTCCAGAAAAATATACAGTAGCAGTCTGCATGGAGAAGAAAACAGTCCACCCATTCAAAAGTTTAAATTGAGAAATTAATCGTTTGGCCTTACGTGGTCAAGGCAATTTTATTGAGAAAAAGTCGTCGAGGTTTAGTCTTTCAGGTCAGGTGCTTCTTGATGGGCTCCTAAATCCATCGCTTGTAGATTTTAGTGATACAATGAACCCACATTTGTGACTTACGCTATATTATCAGGTCTATATGGCCAAATATTATTGAACTTTAGAGTGCTTAGAAACGCATACGTCGACCGCTTTCCAAGAGGGAAGTACATGTGGTTATAAACGAGATTGTTAATTGAAGGGATTTGCTCGCATGGCGTTAGAGTATCACAACTAGTTCACACTTTGTAACAAGCTGTACTGCTTGTTGTTAAGAATTTTAGTAGAAATATTTTACCCTGTCCCTTATATCTATTTAAAGAATCCCTCTGTCCTCTCGTAATTTTGTATCAAAATGTGCAGTATTGGAGAGGTGCAGCAAAAGATCTGTTGAAGAAAATCTTTTAGAAAAGTTGTATTTGTATACTATTTTGTAAACGAAACCAAAATCGATTAATTTTCGTTTAATCGAACAGTTAATAACGAGGCACATCTGATAAATATGTGTTGGCCATGTTTAAACTTTTTCTTCTGGGAAAAACTGAATAATAAATGAATAAAAATGGTTTTGAAAAATATCTTGTCTCTTTTGAAAAATTTACCATCATGAGTGATTAACACGTAAGCCTCTTCATATGAGCGCGATAGCTGGCACTGTTAGCGGTGCAAATTTCACCTTCCTTTCATTTCAGTGGAAATCTCCGCTCGGTTACCGAGATGATCAACGATGATCTTTTAATTCCATCTTGGTAACCAGAAGAAACGTCCTTACGCAAGTCCTCAGCACTACCTTCTCGCTCGATCCAGCTTTCAATGACATTAATTTAGCAATAATTCGTTATGAGTCTGAATGTTTTCGACCAGTGTAAGACCCCTTAGCCTGCACTTTTCAAGGCATTCTGAAGAGAATGAGACTAGAATCACAGTTACTTGTTTATGATTTATGAAGCCTGATAATCACTGTCTGCGCAGAAACGCCATAAATGCCTTTGAAGAAGACAGACGATGACCGCAGGGTGAATTTAAACTTAGGCTTTTCCACAGGAAGCCCGAATAGTAAGACTCCTTGAACACGGCTCATATCATCAGCCTAAAAACTGATCCAGTCACGTTTAACTGAGAGGCTCGAAGAAAATGAACTACCGAGATATACCCTCTAGTCCTACAGTAATTGGTTAGTTGCAGAGGCAAAAGAAAGATGGCCAAGATACGGATTGTTAACAACAAACATGAACTTCACGAACCTTTAAGTGGCCCCTTTACCCAATTTCGATCAAATCTCCATTTAGTGATTCTGTAGCTTACCAATCTAAACTTATTTGTGTTAGCTATTGAGGGAATTATTTAACCCATAGCTGGAAGTTCGAAGCCGTAGATCACATACATGGGGTCCACTATCAGCAGCAACTTCTCCCTGGACAGAGAGATAGGCAAGAGGATTGGAAAAGCAGCAACCACATTCGTTCGCCTCACCACGCGAGTGTGGGAGAATTCCAAATTCTCCGTCAAGACGAAGATAGCAATGTACAACGCCTGTATTATCAGCAAACTGCTATACCGAAGTGAAACGTGGACGACACATGCCATGCAGGAAAAGAGATTGGTCTCAGGTTGACATTAAAATGCAATGGTAACGACGTCTAGGATCCTACGATGTTCACTCTATTTTAACATGGTTATTGTTGATGTTTTTTCACTCTAGCTGAGTCACCGAGAAGTGAATAAGACTGTAAGACCAATCTCCATATCCTAGTACTAGTGTTGCAAATGATGACTTAATGATATGAAATGTTATCTCTTATTCTTAAATAAAGGGTTGCGTGTAAATAAGTTGCTTTCTCTCTCTCGAGCCTTCAATGGATTACTACAGACATCACTTTGGTTTTAGAGTAACTAAGAGACAGAGAGTTACTATCCAGCCAGTTTATGATATCGCTTAGGTCGGCAGACAAGTAAGACTCGATTACTTTCATTGGATTACCACGATAGAAAAGCAAAGAGTCATCAGCATAAAGTGTAATTTCTCGTTGATGAACGGCGGATGGGAGACTCATTAATAGATACTTAAAGATGTGATGGACTGAGTATTGAGCCCTGTGGGACACCAAAATATATTGAATGGGGTTTAGAGAGAACACCATTGGTTTGTCAGATAAGCTTTGAACCATATGACCGTTGCAGAGACAGAGACAGTGCCACTGCCATTGCCATTGCCAGTGCCAGTGCCAGTGTCAGTGTTGATGACAGTGACAGTTACATCGAAGTTGAAATCCTTATTCTCCGACGCATTTCGTCTAACTGTCGAAGACTTCTTCAGGGAGTTTACAAGTTAAAACTAAACGCCTGAATTTATTATAAGCCATAGTAAGCGGCTGTACGGGGGCCAAAGACCATAGAGGCTTGGCCGGACATACGAACAGGAACAGGCGAAGTTGTAAAAAAAATTGAAAATATCTGGGGGCTACGGTTTTAGCCAAAATTTTTTATTTTTTTTAACAACTTCGCCTGTTCCTGTTCGTATGTCCGGCCAAGCCTCTGTGGTCATTGGCCCCCGTATAGCCGCTTACTATAGCTTATAAATACAGGCGTTTAGTTTTAACTTGTAAAATTAAAACTTGTGAGACAAAACGCGTCGGAGAATAAATAAGTTTTATAACTACTGTTCGCAGAGTGCTGCTCACTAATTCAGTTTTAAAAAAATTAATTAAAAAAATTTTAAAAAAATTTAAAAAGATTAAAAAAAAATGTGATAGAGACAGTTACCTTGACAGAAAAGTGTTGTTGAGGCAAATTTTCCCTTTGTTTTCATTTTCTCACTTACTTGTCACTGTTTACTTTTTTTTTTGCTCTTTGGTATTTTGTTATATAGTTTGTTGTCTCGCCCCTTTCTATTTACCAGAGTTTTTTCGTGTCTATCGGTGAAACAGTGTTCGTAGCAGAAGATTTTTTCTTTTTCTCGGTTTCCCCAGCTAATAACCCCAATTATCCTCAGCATTTGGTAAGCGGCTTCATCTTCATCTTTTTCTTTAATTTCGTTTTGCAGTGGCTTTTAGGTAGTTTGTCTATGTTGTAATTATTATTATTTCGCTCTTGTAGGAATTTACTTTCTCTGACATTATAATAAAACATTTGCTGAGGCATCGTGTTGTTGTGTTCTTCGAATTGGCCCTTGCCTGTTCAAGTGAACTAAAAGAGAAAGAGACGGTGACAGCGACAGTGACATAACCAGTGAGACTGACCGTGATAGATACAGCGGAGACAGTCGCACTGAAGTGACAATAACCTTTTGTTAAAAAAGTGACATTCACAGTGACGCTAAAAGATTAGGAGACAGTGACAGCGACAGCGACCGAGCCAGTGACAGTGACAGTGGCAGTGCAGTGACAACTCTATTGACTGTGACAGAGATAGAGGAGTGGTGGTGACAGTGACATTGACAAAGGCAGTGGAAGTGACGGTGAAAGTGACATTGACAGTGACACAGACATGACAGAGATAGAGACAGTGGCAGTGATACTGACAGTCTCGTTGACGGTGAAAGTGACACAGAGAGTGGCAGAGAAAGAGACAGTGGCAGTTGCAGTGGTTGTGGTAGTGACAATGGCTATGGCGGTGGCAGTGGCCGTGGCAGTGGCAGTGGCCGTGGCAGTGGTAGTGGTAGTGGTAATGACAGTGACAGGCATAGTGATAGTGGCAGTTACACTAAAGAGATAACGACGCTGAAAGTGACAGAAAGGGTGACAGGTAGAGTCATTGGCAGTGACCTTGACAATGAGAATGAAAGTGACAGTGACAGAGAGAGTGACAGGAAGGGTGGTTTTGAAAATGACAATGACAGAGACATTGACCTTGATGATGAAAGAAATAGTGTCAGTGACAAAGATAGTGACAGTAACAGTGGCAGACGCAATAACAGTGAAGGAGACTGACCTCGACAAGGATCGTGCCAGTGACAGAGACAGTGAAAGTAAGTGAGACAGTGTCCGTAACATAGAGAGTGAGAGACAGTGACAGTCACACTTCTAGTTGTAGTGACAGAGACACTGTTAGTGACAAGGATACTGAAGGTGACAGTGACAGAGACAGAGACAGATGGAGACAGCATGTTCGTAGTTTACAGGCGGTTTGTCACGATAGACCTCGTGAAATTGCCTAGCTGCCACGTGTCTCCCATAGCAGAAATATGTGTTGTTGCGTCGGAATTCATCAAGTAACTTCGTGGTTATTGTTAGTCAGATCTTCTTGAATGGAAAATTGATGATCTTCATGTGGTCATGCGGTGAACTGCCGGATAAGTGTACAATTTCTAAGTTATTTTGTAGGACACACTTTATGAGTAGATGCCAACTTTGTATTCCACAATATAGGTAAACAGGGAAGGCAAAACGAGGAGGATTTTTTCTGTATGTCACTCGATGCATTCCAACGTAATTATCCTTGGTATGCTCCTGCATTAGGTGCTTTCTTTTGCCATAGGAGCTTGCTGCGGACATTCTCTTCCTATTTCTCTGCACGTGTCACCTTATAAACTGTTCTGCTCACTGTGATTGACTGGAATTCCAATGCTGTGATTGGCACGTTTTGACGAAAGATTGCTTCAGTAGTCCGCTGTCGCATGGATCTCCTGCTATTGTATTTTAGTGGAAATTTTCAAGAAAAGGAAGACTCAGGCAAAAAATGGATAACGTTGTTCAGTTTACAACCCTTTTAAATGTTCATTCTACAGAAATGAATTTATATAATTGGTAAAACACCTCCAAATTCTAGAGCTGTCAATTATACCTTACGTGCTACAACGTAATGTTCAAAGTTATACCATCTTGATCAGCCTATTGGATTCTAATGTCAAAGGAAATTTCTCGAATTATAAACCTCCTGATCAATTGGATACATATACTGTAAAAGTAATTGCAAACAGAGTTCATACGA